GATTTTAGTTTGGAGCACAGGGAAAATATAGATGAGCTGTCTAAAATTTTCTTTCTCAGATCAGTTGTTACTTTGATGGACTCTGATTCCTTTGTAAAAAGCAGCCAAGGTTGTTCAAACTATGACCAAAAGTAAGCGTCCATTAGCAAGTAACTATTCATCGTATGTATTCTTTGAAGAAGGTGAACTGTGACAGTTGTTTGGATCAGAAATGGAGTTAGTCTGTCCCGGATACAGGACTGCCTGTGTTAACATCTTCCCATAAAATAGGAAACTGTGTATTTGTGGGTTTTTAATGAAATAAATAGTTGTTTCTGGAACATAATACTCAAGGAACAGGGTTTTTTCCCCCTCATTGCACAGTTAGTTGTCTTTATAAAATACAGTCTTGCCATTATTCTAATTACTGGACTTTAAGCATTGTTGAGTTGCAAGAAAACTTTCCAAAAATAAGATTCACAGTTACAAACCTCATTGATTTTCAGACTTAGTTTTTTCATGATATATCTAAGAAGTCTGAGTGCATGAGCACATCACTTTTTGAGTAAGGCGGACACTTCTTTTTAAGGGGATGGGGAAAAAAAGAATTATGTACTATTTTGAAGAAAAATCTAAAATGCTGCAAATTGAAAATGATACCCCAGAAGCTAAAAAATGGAATCTCAGATTTGCTGTCACTTGTTTGAAAATTGTTCTGATGATTCTTTAAGCCATGTTAGTGTCATAGATCTGCAAGACTGTGCTTCGGTGTATTTATACATTTAACTTAAATTAATATGCTTGATTTTTTAAAGCAACAAAGCCTCACAGTTAATCTGCTGCTGTAAAGTTCTATCATTTTTTTAGTCAATACTCATTTTCCTAAATATACTGTGTGTTACAGAAGAACCAGTAAAAACTGGTTTCTGGAACTGCAGCATTTCATTTGGAAGGAAAGCATCAGATTGCCCTTACGAGTCTATTTTTAATAACATTAATGACAACAGCACAGGGTTATTCTGCCAGGGTGATTTGGGATAGCTGAGCTTGCAGGACTTGACGAATCATTATTGGATTCAAAACACTAACAAGTAATTTATAATGATGACTTACTATGAGAAGTTGGGGAGAATTATGCTTGTATTGTTTATGGCAGAGGTTGCAGTTCGTTAAAACACCCTAGAATATCTGTTTGTAACATCTTTAATACGCTGGAATCACCTTATTAATACCTATGAGGTAACACCTTTAAGTTAATAAGGATTTTTTTTCTTCTTACTGAGTCCAAATCTACTTTTTGCTCAATATTTTTACCTCCAAAATGACTTCAGCAAAAGAATTAGGGACAAAACCTAATTCCCACCCACATTAGGTGATCTAATTTATCAAGTACCTAATGATTTTTATAAAAGTTGCATCTCCCCTTTTTGAGTATCATGTAAGCTGACAGGTAGAGGAAAGATTTGATTAGTGTGGAAAGTTCTGTATCAGAAATAGTCTGTTGTTCTAGACAAATCAATTTCCTAGTGTACTAGCAATTTTAAGATCCTAAGATGTGATCGGAAATTTCTGATTTCTTAACTCTTAACGCCCAGTGATTTAAGCAAACCCTTCATTAAAAATACAGGAGTTGGCGCGTTTGAAAAATATTTTCACTTCAGTAATTTATATCCTGCCATCCCTCTGCATGGATCTATTACTGTATTCTATCGGTCAATTCTTTCATGCTAAATTTAACATGAAAACTACGTGCCAGTTTCCTCTGCGTCTTCGGTAAGAACATAGTGGGGTTTTTTCCTTCAGATATTATGGGATGACTTTTTGTAACACGGGACATTTTGTGTTGATTAGACAGTCTGAAATTTTCCTGCCTCAAATAATCGTCTCTGATTGTACAGGCATCCTCGAGTCTTCTCAGGCTAAACGCTGCTGTAAACCACAATGGATAAACAGCTTTGAAGTATTCCCAGTAGCAATCTTGGAATTTCTTCAAGTATATTGAGATTTTGTTAGAAATTGAATCGCCAGTGTAATCCATCTTCCTTGTGAGAAAAGATTCAGATAAAGAGCTGGAGCCTAGCAGCATTAAGTATTAGAACATCCCTTGAAATCAATAAGCTACAAATCTGGCAGCGCATTCATGCAGCGCCCAGTGCTACGCTAAAGTGGCTTTAGTGCTGAAACAGCATTACTAATAGCACATCCCCAACACACATAAACAGTTGAGTGATGCAGTAACCCAAACTATATGAGGCCTTACCTAGTTAAGTTTCACAAAAACATTTGTATTGTGCTAACATAGATAAGAAAGCAAGTTTTTTTTCCTTTTTTTTTTTTTTTTCCAGATGACTTTCCAAACGTAGTTATAGAGGGCATTCTACATGGAATATTTTATCCTCATTTACTGCCCAGGTAGAAGTGACGCGTGGCTAGAAGAAGCTGAAGCAAGTCTCTGAGTCATGTTTAATGGAATTAACAGGAATAAAGTTCTGTGATGTGAAAATTACGCTCATAAGCAAAAGGCACAATCTCAGTTTAAGTTCAAGCATTGTATCTTTTTAAATAATGTCACTACAATTGCTGCTTTTAAAAAAGGAAGATATGGAAACAACAGCATTGAAGTTATTTATACCTTGTCTATATTGACATGCTCTATTTAACACTAAAAGCTGAAAGTCATACACTGAATTACACTAACCTTTGAAAATAATCGAAAGATTTACTAATTATTTCTATAATTTCTATCATAAATTACATTAAACCTTTTTGCACCAGGATTTTTCGCAGCACACTACCCATTGCTGGCAGTGGATGGATTAAAAGTGCTGGCACTGAAGACAGTGTGTGAGAAATTGCCAAAAAAAAAAAAAAAAAAAAAAAAGAAATTAAAACAAGAAGAAATTGAAAGCAACTTGAAGTATTTTGTTTATTTTTCTTAAATTATTTTGAATCTGCTCCTTAATATCAGGTTGGAAAAGAGCTGAGGCAGGTGTATGGAGAGTTTCTATTGGAAAACTTGCTTCCACATTCTGAAATACACAGCTCTCAGGAAATTTTCTAGATTTCAGTTGAAATGATTTTATCTACCAGGAGATTTTGCATGGCATTTCTTCATCTCCATTCAGTTATGGCATCTAATCTTCTGTGTGTATGTTTACTCTTCACGTCAACTTGCAGAGTGTATTCCATGTCTTAACATTTTAGAAGTCACAGAGCATACAACTTTGTAGTAAGCTAAAGCAAGAATACGATTAAGTAGTTAAATTGATAAACTAAAACTGATACATATATATTTATACACACATATATATATATATGTGTTTGTTAAGATTTAACTGGAAATTTGTATGTGTGCTACTGGACATTACAATATAAATTACTATAACATGAATGTACTGCTTCAGTGTATTTTTTGTGCATTTCTATTCAAAGAACACATTTCTCCGAGCTTGTGTCACCAGAGATGGGTCTCACAGATATGTCCATATGGAGCAAGAGAAAATACCTGGGCATCTGCTCATTGAAAGCTCTCAGCACCATGCTATCTGAACATGATAAGCTTATAAAATGTATGTCTTGGGTGCAAAAATTCAGTGTAGTTGAACAGCCAGTAAGTCACTGGGCTCATCACCGGAAGGCAGGGCTCCACAAAAGCAGTAATGGCAACACTACACACGAACAGAAGTCTGATCCTGGAGACACACCGGTTGCCTCCTGCTCACTAATAAATTGTTCTGAAGCTGCCTGGGGATGGTGAAAAGCTGGGATTTGTTTAAACGGCAGGGCTGTGACTGCAGCCCTTGTTCAGGTAGCCAAACTCTCTACACTGTCTATGGGATCAGTCTCCAGGAAAGCTTTCAGCTACTAGTGGAAAGCTATTTGGGCAAGGGAGTCTGACGCATTCTTGCTCTTACTTCCTAACGCTGCTTCCCAGTGCTGCTTTTCAGAGAATTTTACTTTAAACAGTTAGTAGAGAGAAAAATTAAGAGGGGTGAAATGGAAGTCTGACTGCCTAGTACTAGCAAATTTAGAGGCCCTCGACAAGTTCTCCTCTAGTTCTGTTTTAAAGAGAAGGACAGTAATCCTTTCACAGGTCTCCAAAAGAAGTTGTCAGTATTTACTCTCAGGAGAGACCCCAGAGCTGTGGATAGTGAACCAGCAGAAGCACACCTGAAACTATAAATGACGTGTGTCAGGAGGACCTGCGGCAAATCCCTGCCTACAGCAGGGCTTCCTTGCAAGGGGGTGCCAGTAGGTACCTGCAAGCTCTGTGCTGTAGTACTCACTCTTCCCCTGCACCACTTCCAAGTCTGGATATCTCACATGGGCTCCAAGACCACCTTCAGGAAACTAGTCACCACAAAGATCTGTGGTGCGCTGCTGCCCACTGAGCAGGTGGATGAATACCTCCCCAGATCTTGGCATCGGCTCTTCGATCTTGAGTTCTAAAACACTCAAAACTCAAGAGAAAAAATTCACATCTCTTTCCTGTGGAGTACTATGTAACTCACTAAAGAACGTTAACAAACACACCAGCCTCTAAGTGGTAGCTTATGCTGACCTTGTTTAAAAGCTACCAGTTAAGCTGTCAAGAGTCATTTATAAAAATAAAGAACCTAAAGGTGCATCTCTGACATACAGCAAAACTGCAAGAAAAAGCATTTGAACTCTGTCATAACTAACAGTAGCTAGGTGTTACAAAATTCACTGTGCTGTAAAGGCCTCTTCTGTTTTAATCAGTTTCTAATGGACAATGCTATTTAACAACAGACAGAACTGTTCTTCCTTGTATCTACAATTCAGAATTGTATCTGAATACTGTGGGTTTTTTGAAAGACAGCAGGGACTTTACGACACGTTAAGATTAGAGAAATTTACCATCTCTGCTCTAACCTTATAACCTCATTTCCTGGAAAGCAGCACCCCCTGTATATTTTGCAGAATCAACTGAGGTGAGAAAAAAAAAAAAAGGGAGGGGGGGATATAAAAAAAGCTTTTCACTAAGTATTTCTTTTAAATCAAAGTTTATTTATTCAAAACACTTCTGTATATTGCTTTTTTTTTCATTTTTAAAAATGCTGTTACTGTTACAGAAAATAGTATTTTCAGTTGAAAAGATGGAAAGAAATATTGCAAAAAATTCAAAGAGAACAAAATGACTGAATTTCAAACCTTGAAAAAAATAGTACTACTTCTAAAATTTTTCATGAAAGACTTTTTTTGCAAGATCTAGGATTTAGGGGGCTATGTCTTGAATTTCAAGGAGTGACAGCTCCACTAAGTTGTTATAGAAATTGTTGTATCTTTTCTGTATTTGGCAAATGATAAGTATTGTCTAAATATAGCCTTACATGTTTTGAGAAGAAACCCGAGGGATAGTCAAGATTGGTCAAAACCAGGCCTTAAAGAAAAGTTATTAAGTTTTACTTCCCATCTGACTGTTAGTCTCACCAGTCACCTACATCAACTACAAATGGTTCTTTTACAGCTATTTTGCCACTGTTCACAATCACACAGTCTTGAAGAGGCCGGTCGTGTTCATCTGTCTGCTGGAGTTCTATCGAGTGCACCACAGACTGTTTTTTTTAAAAAAAAAAAAAAAAAAAAAAAAAGTTCAGTTTAGCCAAGGAAACTCCAGTGGCTCAAGTCTGGTACCAGGTAAACAGCTACCTGCTCCTAGCATTACTACTTACTAAGCAACTCCTGAACAAAGACCTTTACCCTGTTCAATTACCACATGCTTTTTTTTTTCCCCACATTAACAGCTGTACCACTCTGCAACCAACACAAAGTTGACAAGCACATAGAAGGCTGTTTGCCCTTCTACAAAAACCTTCAGCCAACAAAAATATTACGAAGGGGCAACTGAAAATACCCTTTCATCTGATCAGCCTAGCACATACAGGGTCTGTCTGTAGCCTATAAGCAGAATATGAATCCAGAGATCAGAAAGGATGAGCAGTAATTATTTTTCTAATTGTATAGCATAACTGTGCTTCAAGAAATCTGATGACTGCTTTTACCTTCAGTATAACACACACACACACATATGTTCTAAGTGTGGTACCATGCCCTCCAGACAGCTACAGGTAAACTACCAGCCTCACACTAGGCAACTAATTAAAGTGGTATTTTTAAAGGACAAAATTCAGTTAGGAGTACTGACTGTTTCGCTTTAGATATTTGTCCATTAGTCTAACTAAACTAAAACTTAATCTAAGTCTGTGCTCCAAAATGTTCAGCTATTACTGCAGCTCACAAGAATCAAATTCTTATGAATGTGGGAGTCGGGGGCAAGTGTACTGATGACATTTTCATACTCCTCAAAGAACTGGTCAGTGCAGCAGTTCATGACTCTGCCATTAATTTCAAAACACAGATTAAATAGAGTAACTTAGAAGGAAAAGTACACTACTAAAAGTACAACCAGTTGGAAGTACCATTTTTAAACTTAAATTCTATTTGGCCTTTGATCAGTTTTGCGGCTGTGAACAGTTGGAGGGAATTAACTAGAATTTTTTTCTTTTTAAACAAACAGATCTCAATATACGTGTTTGTATACTTTACATTCATATGCTTCTAAAAGCTGTAGCAATGAAAGTGTTACCCATAGCTAGCATGTGCTACAGAATTATATTTTTAGCCTATAGAAATACAATTATTTCACAGCTAACAGTGTTAGTGAAAGGAGGACTTGAACTTATTCCATTTGCAATCTGCAAAGGTGTCAGTGTTGATTTCAGTGGTTAGTGGTCTGAAACAAGAGCTGTGAAAGCCAAAGGCATGATTTAAGTTTCCATTTCTGCAGTCACCATTTGCTATTTCAGTTCTAAATCGTCCAGCTCCAGCCTCTTCAGAATTGTTTTCTACTATGTACATATTAGATAAATACTCAATTGTTTTGAACCACAACAGTGTACGTTACACTAACACAGTTATAATGTGGCAGAATTTGTCCATGTTTTTTTGGACTAATCTTGCCACTACTTTTAGCTTACCATTCCATCAAGGACTTTGCCAAATACTACATGTTTTCCATCTAACCAGGAAGGCTTTGTCACACTGATGAAGAACTGGGATCCGTTTGTGTCTGGGCCCGAATTAGCCATGCTAACCCATCCAATTCCATAGTGTTTCAGCTTGAAGTTCTCATCTGGGAACTTTTCTCCATAGATGCTTCTTCCTATGACACAAAATAAGAAAGCAAACTTTGAAAAGAAAAATAAATTCAAACAACTCCCCGCCTCCTAAAAGTATAAATTCAGGACTTGAAGATTCATTGTTTGAGTAAGCACAGCAACATCACTGTCTGATTCCATAATTAAAAGCATTTTGTGTGCAAAGAAAAAGATAAGCTAAAATACCACACATAAGGTGAGAATATTTAAAGCTGATGATGCTTTATCCTTTGAATTTCACAAGCAAGCTCAGTAACTTCCAAGGTCCTGCTTACATACACCACAGAATAATAGTATACTTCACCCTGTTCGACAAATTTAAATTGCGTAATTATGGCCATTAAAAATAAGGTTGCTGTGTTTTGTGAGAATTTTAGTCTTTACTTTTACAATTTTTCCTCCTAATAAGACATGTTTAGAAATATATGAAGACCAAATGGAAGTTAGCCTAAAAGACTCGATGTGGATTTGCACAATCATTACACAGGGATTTTGATGTTTCTAAAATAGTTCAGAAGAGAAAACATTTGAGTCATGTTTAAACCACCATCACTTTGAAAAGAGAAGGCTGTCTGTCTCATTCTTCATTCGTAGAATGCTGAGCACAATGAGGACACTGCTACCAACACTGCCAGATACTATCCCAATAAACAGTATTAGCAGTCAAAGAAACACTGCCTACCTTCAATGCTAAGAGAGTGTCTTTGGTATTTTAGCCTTCCCCATTGTTTGCTGCAAGGAAAAGGAATGTGTGTTTTCCAGTCTGTCCCAGCAGTGAAATCACTGACATTGTATGCAGACAGTTCAAATTGTAGCACGTGAAGAATGTACGTGTAAAGGAAGAGAAGAAATCAGAAGCCAGAATGCATGCAATGCAGGAGATGCTGCACTGGGATTGCCCTCCTTAGTGGACTGGTCTTCTAGAGGCTCAGGAGGGAGAAGTGATACACACACAGGCAGAACTCACACCACCAGTAAGTTTATGGTTTTAAATTTAGTAAGAGAAAAAGGGGAGAGAACATGACCCTCATTTTCTAATTTCTCTACCCCGGTTTCTAAATCCCCTCTCACAGCACATTTCAGGTGGTTCCACAGAACTGGCTGAGCTGCGGGCAGAGAGGATGGCCTACTCCTTCCCTACCTGTCTTCCCTCTACATGCTTTCACTGTTTCATCACGGATTAGTTTTCTGCTGGATGACTTGAACTGGTTCACGTATACATGCAATCAATGAGTGCCTCGGGGAAGGAGCGCTGTCACAAAGCCAGAGCAGGGGAAGGGTGGAGACATCCATCTCTTGGAGACAGCTCAGCTGGTCATGTGGCTCCATGCAAAGCCATGCTTCTTGAACGGGGACAAGTCACAGACAGAAAAGAGCTATCTGCAAAAATTGAGGACAAAGGAAGCTCTACAGATACTTATAATCAGGTAATCCAAATAATTGCAGCTCATGTTCCAAGATGCCTGGAAAAGTACCAGATGCTCTAAAACAAGTGTGGTTTTTTTTCATTTATGTGAGCTGAAGGAATGAGGGAATATGCTGGTTTGCCCATCTTTTCAGCAGACATTTGAAGAAAGGAAAGGGAACCTGGAAGACACTAAGCATGTTACCTCCTGATCCATCTCCAGCTGTAAAGTCTCCTCCTTGTATCATGAAGTCTTTGATCACACGATGAAATTTACTTCCTTTGTATCCATATCCTCTCTAAGAAAATGAAATAATTCTTTAAATGAACGTAACATCCAGTTCTATACAGTCATATGGAATGTTTCACAGAATATACCACCACCAGAGACAAATACTGGCAAGAAACAAATTAAACTGAGATGCAGGTGAATGCAGCTGGACAGCACTGCCACAAAGCTGGTATTATTCAGGTGATCAAAGCCACTGTCTTTATTTGACTGGTATCTGACCACAGTACCTCTACATGCTAGATCTGCATGGCAGGGACAGACTGTGGTGGCGATATCCAGCATCTCATAATTACATCTTGTGAACCAAGCTCCAAGAACCTGAGAAAACACACACCAGTGCACAGCCTCGGGTATGGCACTCTCGCATAGGCTCCACTGAATTAAGATCAACAGTTCACAATTGAAACAGCATTAAACAAATATTTACTTCCCAGTTAAAACTTGAGTACACTGTGGAAGAAAACCGCAAACGTACTTCTCCAGTTGCCAGCACAATGAAGTTCTCCACAGTCTTTGGGACAACTTTTCCAAACAATCCAATTACAATTCTGCCAACATCTTTGTCTCCAATCTTCACATCAAAGAACACCTGAACATTTTTGTGAAGAGAACAAAAGTGATACAAACATGAGCACAATAAAAAGGCCAAGCTTTTGAAAGCGTAATGTGGTAAGAAACGGCTTCTGGCTGGTCTAATATATAACAGTATCCTTCAATTCCTGAGGGTGCTGTTTAAGAAAAATCCTTTCAGAGCTATCAAAATCAGATTACGCAAAAAACTGTTTGAGAACTCGTGACTATACATTTTGATTCTTACTGTTTTTAAAGGCTCACTGAGCCTGCTGTATCACAAGTTTGAAGGCAGTGTTCAAGAAGATTTTTCCCAGACGTGCATGTTTTAAAGCTGTATGGAAAAGATGAAATATGAAAGTAAGGAGGAACAACAATGCTACTCCAGTGTGATGAACAATAACGTGCAACTAAAGTACTGACACTCCCCACAAACAATAGTTTGCTATCCATTCATAATCTTCACTGTTGTAGGAACTAGTATGTATGTGATTCAGTATAGGTGACAGCCTAAATTTCATGAAATTGACAAACAGTGAGAAGGAAATCCTACATCTCAAGCAAGGAGTCGCCTTCCTAAATGTGAATTCAAACCTGATAAGGGAAATTACCAGGCTACATTATTCATCTGTTTGCCTAAAAGCTTCAACAAAGATGTTGCTAAAAAGCAACTTTAAAAAGGCAAATGAGTTATAAAGCATTTTAATATAGTTCAGAATATATGAATGCATATTTGAACGTGCAAAAATGTTCCGACAATTACTGAAAATAGGAACAGCTGTCAGGAAATGAGGCATTTTGAAGTTTTGAAAAAGTTACATAAAGACTATTACAACTTCTAGGAAGCAACAATGTGTATTCCTATGATGTGGTATTTGCTGTTCCTTGTGGCACCTGACCAAATATTACTTGTCTGCAACGCTAAGAGATTAGTCCAATAATGATAATAAATGACTACAGTCTTTCGAATGTGAATGACACTTTCACACTCTCCTACTAAACATTTCTACTGTTTCTTGATCTTCCATGTGGTTTTGACTGTTGAACTTTTGGCTAACACTATAAAAGCTTTATAAACAGAATTCCTTTTGATATACCTCATTCATTTCCTTGGCACCTGGCACCAAATACCATACTACTTAGATGCGTGGATCCCAAAGCGTTAACAGCACACTTTCACTAACTGCTTAACATTTTTATGAACATATCTCTCCAAATTTTGCCACCAGAGTTATCTAGGTAAGGGGTATTGCCTGCCTCTGTTTTCTAAACGCACCTTACTTTGCCTGCAATTGTTGTCCTCGTAGGAGTACTGCCTGAAATATGTAAGCATATACAGGTAACACAACTGAGGCTACCAAGCAATGACCCCAGACAGTAGTAACATCAAACACTTTGACAAAGCACATGGAGACAAGTCCCTCACACATTATAAGCCTAACCCAACCAGAAGGCAGAGCTGCTCGCCTAAGTACCAAACCCAGCACTTCCAAAAAGCGCTGCTTTGGCTTATTCTGCATTTATGAATAAACAGTAAGTTCCCGGCTTCCCATTACCACTCCACATACCCGTGCCACACGCTTGTTGCTTTTTGGAAAAGTTCTGCGCTTCCTAACTATGCATCCCATAAGACGTCTGTGCATATTTCTGGCCAGGAAATCAAATGCAAAAATACTTGGTAGCGCTGGATGCCATTTTTGCATAGAGAAGGATTTGGAGCATGTCTCATATGAGGAGCGGCTGAGGGAACTGGGCCTGTTTACCCTGGAGAAGAGGAGGCTGAGGGGAGACCTTATCGCTCTCGACAACTACCTGAAAGGAAGCTGTAGTGAGGTGGGTGTTGGTCTGTTCTCTCTAGTAACAAGCGACAGAACAAGGGGAAATGGCCTTAAGCTGCACCAGGGGAGGTTCTGGCTGGATATTAGGAAGAATTTCTTTTCTGAAGGGGTTGTCAGGCATTGGAACAGGCTGCCCAGGAAGGTGGTGGAGTCACCATCCCTGGAGGTGTAAATGTTGTACTTAGGGACATGGTTTAGTGGTGTTGGTAGAGCTGGGACAAAGGCTGGACTCGATGATCTTGAAGGTCTCTTCCAACTGAAACTGTTCTATGATTCTTTCTCCTCAACTTTGCTGGAAAGTCAAAAAGCATGAAGACACTAGTGAGCTGGTCAATACTGCTGTCTCAAATCTCAACAAAACACATGGCCAGATTCTTCACCAAAAACTCTCAAAGAAAATAAATATTACTCTTTTTCAGTCTTATTTATATAAGTATTTTATTTACAATTTGCAGTTAAGTATTTCAAGATTGAAATGAAAAAGAGTGACTGGGTTTCATGAACATATTCATATATAATTTACACAAGATGGTATATATCAAAATGAAAAAATGGCCAAGAATAATCAATTATTCAGGGAAAAATAAAAAAGTTGACTGTGAAAGAACGATCTCATGACTCCTAGAGACTAGGTAATATAATGATAAATGAACTCCTGACAAATGTAAAATACTGCATGTGGAAGAGGACTATACAGTCACAACAAGGGGTCCTAAATCAGCTGCCACTCAGGAAAGACATCTGGAGTCACCCTGAGCAGTTTGATGAAAAGTTGGCTTTGGGCTTGTGAAGGTCTGAGAAGGAAAATGAATGTTAAAAATAATTAAAAATGGGTAACAACAACAAATGGGCATAATTATGCCACAGTGTAAATCTTTACTGTGCATTCATACTCTGAGTGCCACATGTAATTCTGGCTTCTCTACTGCAGAATGACAAAACCAACCTAAAAAAGGTACAGAAAAGGGCAGCACAGATGCTTAAAGACCTGAAATACCTTTTATATGAAGAAACACAAAATAAAACTGTGCAAGCTGGAAGAGAGAAAACTGGTGTGATCTGATGAGCTCTGTAAAGTTATGACTGCCTTGGACAAGGTAAATCGACAGCTGCAATTCTCTATTGTCCCACAAAGTACAAATCAGGAAAGAGCATAAAATGAAATCCTAGGCAGAAGGTCCAAAGAAGCAAAGTACTTTTGCATAATTAAACGAATATATTGCCAGAAGATGATCTGGAGGCCAAAGTGTATGGGATTTACACCCCCTCAAAAAAAATCAAGTTCATGGACTAGAAGTCCATGGCAATGCAACAGTAGACAGTTACAGACAATGGTGGCAATGAAGTGCAGAGGCTCAGGAAGCTGAGGCTGTGCCAGAAGCAGCAGCTTGCCCCTGCCCTGTCACTCTTCCATGAGTGCCGGCATCGTTCACCAGGAACATGGCACTCACTCTTGAGTGTCGGTGGAAAGGTACTTGGGGGCAGAAACACCTAATCCTGGCTTTAACCAAAGCCAGACTAGACATCCCACCTCCTGCACCAGCAAAAACTTTTGGAAAGAGATGGTGGCATGTTGCAATAGCCAGGCGCATCCTCCTCCTGCTGCCAGGTGGCATGGCCCGCAACTCTGTCTCTGGGGCAGTGCCATCTATGATTACCGCCTGTGACTCTGGCGCAAACCCAGTCCTGCCGACGAAGGGGACTCGCGACACCGAGGCACGCCGGCTCCCGGCCCGCAGCCTGGCTGGCAGCACGCTCTGCAGCAGACGGCCAGGGCGAGGCTTTAATAACAGCCTCAGGGGCCCCGGCCTGTCGCGGGCTGGAAGGACGAGGCAGCGGGAAACAAGGGGGCAATAAAACGACAGCTCACAACGCCAGAGGTTTCAGCAAAGGCAGCGGCCAAAAGATAAGCACGGCACACCCGAGCCCCGGCGTGGTGAAAACCCCTCTGCTGAGAGCAGCACCCCGCAGTCCCCGGCCGCCCACGGCAACGGCAGGGACCGCTGAAGCTAGGGCGTAACTACGGATTCTAAAGCTACCACTTCTGTAAGCCTGAGGCAGGCTTCGCTAACTGGAAGTTTGAGGTGTGTCAGCACCTACAGAAACAGGGCATGCCTAAAGGGGTTAAAAAACTCCGCACCAAATACTTATGAAACGGGAAAGTAACAGCATTTGCCCAAGCCCTCCCCAAACCCGGCCTCGCAGGGGCCTCCCTTCTGCCCGGAATCCGGCCCGGGACGGAGCGAGCCGGAGAGGGACCAACTCCGCGCTGTAACACCGGGCCAAAAGGCAGCCAGGCCGCCCC